ATCAAGAGATCTGAGCTTTGATTTTGATTCTGACACTCTCTGGCTATGTGATCTGAGCCCTTAACTTCTTTGTACTTCAGTTTTTTTTTTCCCACTTATAAAATTAGGAGGTAAAACTTGCATGATCCAGCCTTAAAATGGATTTTTAGAAATTACTCAGTTGGGAGTGTTTTAAAAGAATCTCACTATTTCCAGATGGCCAGTAGGGAGAGAGAGAGGGAACATCAGAGGTTATTTAGGCCATCATCCTGTCTTCCTTATCTCACCACGCCTGGCCCCTCCAAGAGAATGGTGTATTATGGATGCAGAGAATGCTCCGTTATCTAAGAGAGAGAACCCCAAAACCGCATTTGGAACAAACCATTTTGTACAATGGTTGAGAAAAGCCACCTGCAGATGTGTCCCACCATAAGAGATGGCTGAAAGCTCGAGAGTGTTACCCAATCCTCCATGTAGAGTCCAATGGGAATTCTCAAGGGTGGGTTACCCAAAGAGAACAGAAGGACAAATGCCCTAGGTTGCTATCTTATCTTATTACAGAGGTTCTCAAAGCGTGGTCTACAGACCCCTCCTGACCCTGAGGCTCTTTCAGGGGCCCTGTGAGGTGAAAACTATTTTCATAGTAATACTGAGACATTATTTGCCTTTTGCAATGTGTCGACATTAACATTGACAGTGCAAAAGCAAGGTGAGTTAAACTGCTGGCACTTATGCAGATCAAGGCAATGGCCTTGAACTATATTAGTAGTCAATGTATTCCTCACTGCCAGAAACTCACAGTAAACAACAACAAAAATTAGTTTCACTTAAGAATGTCCTTGATGAAGCCATAAAAAATATTAATTATGTTAAATCATTCTATCTTTGAGTACACATCTTTTTATTATTGGGAAATAGGCACAAAGCATTTTAGCTATATACTGAAGTACTATGATTGTCTTGAATAAAAGCACTCATGCAATCGTTTCAGGTGCAAGCTGGACTGGACTCTTTCATTTTCATAAAACATCATTTTTACTTGAAAAACAAACGATAGACAAATTATGGTTATTCGGACTTGAGAACTGGCATACATTTTCTCAAAAATGAAGTGAACCTGCCACTTTAAGGAAAACAGCTGATAGCATTTGTTGCCAATGATAAATTTGAGCTTTCAGGCAAAACTTAGATTTTTGGAAAACATGTATCTGTCACTATGAATTTTATAGCTTTCCAATAAAACATTTTTCTAATGAAATTGGAAGTGATACTAATAAATGTGATTTTTGATGTTGCATAATAAGATATCTCAATATCTGAATTATCTGTATAATTTAGTAAACCAATATTTTCCAAATGACTGATGTATGATGTTACAAAATCATTTATAAAAGACCCATTCAAGGTACAAAGTAAAGCAATGCATTTTAATGTAACTAAATCCAAGTTCATTGATACAGTTTTATATTCTACATTGTAATTAATCTTTAAGAAAATACAGTAGTCTCCCTAATCTGAGGTTTTGCTCTCCATGATTTCAGTTTCCTGAGGTCAACCACAGTCTGAAATATTAAATGAAAAATTCCAGAAATAAACAATTCATAAGTTAAATTGCATGCCGTTCTGAGCAGTGTGATGAAATCTCCTTCTCTCTTGCCCTGGAAGTGAATTATCCTTCTGTCTAGCATGTCTGCACTGTACACACTACCAGCCTTTAGTCAGTTAGTAGCTGTCTTAGTTCTCAGATCTACTGTCGCAGTATCACAGTGTTCAAATAACTCTTATTTTACTTAACAATGTCCCCAAAAAGCAAGAGTGGTGATGCTGGCAATTCAGATATGCCAAGAGAAGGCATAAAGTGCTTCTTTTAAGTGAGAAGGCCAGAGTTCTCAATTTATAAGGAAAGAATAAAAATTATATGCTGAGGTTGCTAAGGTCTACTGTAAGAGTGAATCTTCTGTTGGTGAAATTGTGAACAAAGAAATTCATGTTGGTTTTGCTGTCTCACCTCAAACTACAAAAGCTGTGTCCACAGTGTGTGATATGTGCTTAGTTCAGATGGAAAAGTCATTAAACTTTATCATAAATACATATGTATAGGAAAAACATATAGACTATATAGAGTTCAGTACTATCTGCTGTTTTAGATATCCAGTGGGAGTCTTAGAACATATCCCCTCAGATAAGGGGAGACTACTATACTGTACCGTTTGCAGAGTTTGGGTGTAGTATCAAAGAAGATTATTGTAATTATCTAAAAAGCTTATTAAAATACTTTCCTCTTTTCCAATTACATACTTGTATGGGATAGAATCTTCTTCACATACTTCAACCAAAAATTAAAAAAAAAACAAAAAACCCACAGCAGGTTGAATGCAGAGGCAAATATGAGAATCCAGGTGTTTTCTATTAAGCCAGATATTAAAGAGATTTGCAAAACTGTAAAATAACAACGTCTTTTTCACTAAATTTGTTTTGGACACCATGGTGATTTTCATAAAATATGTTATGCTAACATGTAATGAGTTTATTATTGCTAATTCATTATATGTTAATTTTTAAAATTAATTAAGTAATATTTTTACATTTCTGTTTTACTTTTTGATACAGTGAATATTGAGTCACAATCCACATAAACAAAAGCATATTGGAGTTCTCAATACTTTTTAAGAATGTAGAAGGGGCCTTGAAAGTTAAAAGCTTGAGAACTGCTGCTTGGAGATCCTTGCAGAGAAAGTGATGTTTTGGATAAGAAATAAAGAGAAGTGTACTCTGCATTTATCATTTCGCACTGTTGTCAGGAAGCATCATGGCTTAATTGAGCTAAATGGCAAGGGTTGGTTATCAAGAGAAAATCATCCCTGGAGAGGCAAAAGAAAAGTCACCTATGATCTAAGATTGGAAGAAATCATTTTTGAGAATATCACATTTTAAAAGTCCTGATCAGACATTCTCTGTGCCCTTCCAATTGGCTCCAGTTCCAAGCATACATGTCCACTCCTTTCCCTCCAAGGAAGTCTGGCCCTCTTCCCCTGCTCAGTATTGGCCATGTTGACTAGATGTGCATCAGAAATCTGCCTTCCGAGTCATAGCAAATGCCACTCTGAGTTCAACAATCAGTACACAGCACTTGAGAAGGCACAGGGCACTTCTGGGCACACAGAATTAAAAAATGAGCATGTCATGACTTTTGTCCTGAAGAACTTTGTCTGGTGAGAAAAAAGACTCCTGAAGAAATAATTACAGTATGGTGTGATAAATGATCTTCTGTACACAGTGACCAAATTTTTCCAACCAAAAATTAAGACACTCTGACATCTGACAATGGAACCATCCCTGGGGACCTGGAACATATATCTGCTATATTTATTAAGAAACTCCAAACAATATAGAAATTCTGTATTGATTTGTTCTTGATTTGACCCAAAGACCCAGAAACGATGGTCTGCACCATTTTTTTTTTTTTTCTGGGAAATAACAGTGTCAGAAAAGAGCAAGACACTCCTTAGGATTACAAAAGATGAATAATGGGCTCCTAACATTTTATTTCTTCTGAGTTAGAGGATGGGAGGCACTGGAGGAAATTTTTCCCGTTATACTTGTTCCAAATGGTTTTCCCCCCAGGCAGAGAGTCCAAATGTGTTTATGCAGGTCTCCCATACCAGCAGAAGCAGATCAAGCTGAATCCCAGAGTCAGAAGAATGAACGAACTTGTAAGAGGCTTCCAGGACCCCAAGCTTTAATTACATGTGGGTAAAACTAAACAACAGGGCTCTTGACCTGCCAAAAAATGTTGGAGTCCCCTCTGGGTGGGCTGTCTGGGGACCACAGAGGTTCTAGTCTGGACTGAGTCTTCTTAACGTCCCAAATATGTACCCTTTGCTCCTCTTTCCTTTGAAGGCTGACTCAAATCCCTCCTTTTAATCTCTTTCTCCCAGTCCCACTGTTCTTTCCCAACTGTGGCAACTCTAAAATGAAATGAACAAGAATAAAACAATCTACAGAAAAAGCTCAGTGCCACACACAGACATCCTGCCACCCACAGTTAGAAAGAATGGGTAACACCGAGTCTTAAAGGCAATCCAAAAGAACGGCAGAGCAAGTGGCCTGAAAACTCCTTTTGGAATCTTGGATCCACTACTTGACTATGGGCAAATCATGACATCTCTCTGATCTCTACTGAGCTCATCCTCAAAAACAGATTATTTTGAGGATTATATGACATGATGTGTAAAAATGCTTGACGCACAGTAAGCCCACTATTCAGAGTTATAAATCTCGCCATCTTTTTGTGTGATTATTTGATTAGTGTCTGTCTCTGCACTAATCTCTTGAGTTGCATGAGACCATGAGTTGTGTCTTTTTCTGTTCATTACACCTCTAGAGTTTAGCACAGTGCCCAGCACATGCTAAGCATTTATTGAGAAAATTGTATGATAAAAGGGAGTTGGCAGGGTCCTGATTAAGGATCTACTCCACTATAACAAGTTTGGGGGGCTCCTGACAACTCTCATGGATTGGTATTGGCTTTCTGAAGCATGGTGTTATAAAGGATTCTAAGGCGGTATCTGGAATAAGTAGGCAAAGGGTGTCCTGACTACCAATGCCTGCTGTGGTTGAGGATGTTGAATATTTGTTGACCTTGGTCCGTAGAGTCAAGAGCAGGTCCATTTTGCCAGCTATTTCTAGCACAAAAACGTCTTTCGTATAACTTGTGGACAGAGCCATTTGAGGAGGACTGAGGTTACCAAATGTCTGACCTGAAGATAAGCAGCATGACATCAGGAATATTTTTGTAAGTCACAGATAAGAAAACACTTAGAACAATGCTGTGCAAAGAAGCTAGAAATATACCACTATTATATCTGCCTATCTCAATGAATTCACTTACTGGGGATGGGTACTTCATGAATCATTTGGCAAGAGCGAGCAGACCTAACATACTTCAGCTAGTATACATCACAACCAAACAGAACTCTGCACTTTTCCCAACCCATAAAGTGGCCGGCTACTCTACTCACGAGGATAATCCTTTGGGTGTGTCTTCTCAGACCAATTCCCATAAAATGTGAGTCTGTACTTGGCAGTTCCACAGGCGCAGCAGTCTAAGATTGGTTTGTCAGTCACCCCATCAAACGTAGAATCTGAAACAGTCAGGAAAGGCAACAAGTTAAGAAGCAAATGTGGGTCTTGGTCTCATCCTATCCTTAATGTTTGGGAAAAGATGAGGCGAAGTTTTCATTGATTAATAACACCTAGAACCAGGTCAGTACTTGGGCTATAAAAGATTTGGTATATCTCTAAGTATGGTAACTGTATTCTGCAAATACAAATCAGAGCTTGTGCTCTAATAAGGCGAGAAGACCTGTGGGACCAATCATGCAGAATATTTGGAATGAAGGCTATTTTGGAAAAACAGGGATGAAATTCACTCAGCTATCCATTCTGGGCCTGAGTCTCTTTCCCCACCCCTCCTACAAGAGTTTCTCCATCAAATTTTAAGAGGAATATGCATGTGTGTGTGTTCTCTAAGAAATATCCTCTGAGGCCAAACTGCCAGCACCAGAAGAAGCAGCTTTAAAGGAGAGCAGTGAGAACAAAAAGACAAGAGAAAAAAATAAAGAACTGCCAAAAATTATTTTTTAAAAAGATATGCATATATAGTCACATTACTTCTTATCACCGTTTCAGAGACTTTACTGGGAGGGGTAGGGGTTTGAGAATATGTTCATAAGTTCAGGTTTACTTCTGAGCCAGGAAAAACTTAAGATTCCCTTTCTGCCTCCATTTTTAGCTGTGAATAGCTGATAAGTGGAGAAAGAGCGATTACATGAATAAATTCAGTATTTCCAATCGTCAAGCCCACATCCCTAACTGTACATTGTTGCTTGTAGTCTGTTCTGCTTCTCGCAAGACAAAAACAATGACTACAGATCCAGCTTGCTTCAACTGCTTTATCTTCGGTTCCTCTAGCGGTTTTAACATAAATGTTCTTTTTTTTTCAAGTTGGATATTTACTCTTAAATATTATCTATAAAGAGCAGTGACAAAGAGCATAAAAATCTTTTGAGTGTAAGGAAGAGCATTTTACAAGTCTTCCATATTGAATTCAATGGGTTCATTTGGTTTGAATATGCAAAATCAGTGATGGGTGGAAGAAGTGAATTCTGGGCTCTACGATGGAGAAAAAAGTATGGGATTTTGTAATAATGACTACATTGTATAGAGTTCTTGTATGTTCCTATCCCTTTGCATATATTGCTAGGATTGTCCTAGCAATCCTAGGAGGTAAGTACTTTAGTTAACCTCATTTTATAAATCAGTAAACTGAGGTAGATTAGGCAACCAGCCCAAGGTCACAGGGTTAGTGAGTGGTGCAGGCAGAGCAGAAGCTCAGGTCTTTTTGAGTCCAGAGTCCATGCTCTTAATCTCTGCACTGTAATGCTCCAGAAAAGACCTTCTGTTGGATATGTCTGCATAAACACCAATGAAAGAATTTTTTGTTTCTCTTTTTGCTTTTTCAAATGAAGAATGGTACATTTTTAAAAATTACCTCCCTACATAGCCCTAGGATTTCTAAAGAGGCCCAAAGAAGAGGTCTGAAACCACTCAAAATAGAAATCATTGTGTGGCTACTTTTTTGGAAGAGGCCAGAGCATTGTCTGTGCTTAGGAGCAGGCTCCCCACTGCCTTATGTGCGTGAAACTCAGATCTGATTCCTGTGTGAATCACTTTGATAGTTAAAGGACAAGCCTTGTTGAATACATTTCAGGAAAGGTAGTGTAAATCAATAACTCCTGAGGATTTTTTTGCATTTTACATTTCTATTATGATCAACTATGTTGTGAAAAGACTAAACTAGTTTTGAAAAAGGGATTCACAGCTAAGAGATACCTGCTGGGGTTTCAATTTTAACTACCAGGCACTGTCAAATGAGGCAGGAAAAATCTCTCAAGGAACCAAAATAAGGCAAATCGGTAGCTTTACCTTATTAAAAGGGCTTTCAAGGGTAGGTAGTAAACTTAAGATATGTCCAAGAGTTCAAGTAAACTTAAGATATGTCCAAGGTAGTAAACTTAAGATATGTCCAATAAATAAGAGAAGACACTTATTTATTATAAGTGTATTCTCTTGAACTCAAGACCCTTAAACCTGAGAAATAAGGCTGTCCTCTGATAGTCAAACTTTCGGACTTCCAAAAGAAAATAAACGTTCATTTAAAAAATGAATTTCTAACTTTGAAACTAAAAACAGACATACTTTTTCCCATTGAGGAAAAGCCAATTGAAAATGAACAAGGTTTCGAAGGGCAGTGATAACAAGCGTTAACCCTCTTCTAACCACTGCAGGGCCTGCCAAAGACAGGTCACTTCAGGCCGTGTAGCATCTCCTGAGCTGCCTTCTCTCCCTGTTTCTACTCCCAACCCATTGGCTTCCTTTTCAGCTCTCATCTTTTGTTCTTCGTTCCTTTCCCCTTTTTTATTCCTTTTCTCATTCTCCCTTCTCTCCCACACTTCCCTCTCTTCTGTGTGTTCCCTTCATCTTTCCTCTCTCTTTGTCTCTCTCCCTTGTTTGTGACATGGTATTAAGTGAGCATGTGGCTGCATATGTTTCTTATAGGTCATCTTTTTAAATATTTAATGTTTCTTTGTTCCTAACTGTAAGTAACTTAATGTTTTATGTTTCTTTTTAAAAATAACAATTGCTATTGCTTTTTAAAAAATCTGTGCAGTTCTTAATTTTTCCCCTATGGATTAACAATATCAACTGGAAAAAATAACAGATACTCGTTTCTCTCTCCCCTTTCTTGATAGATTTGATTCGACTCGCCAAGGAAGCAAAGAATGTAAAGACCTTAATGAAAGAGCTAGAGATAATTAAATAGGCATACACATTAAAGAAAAAATCTCTTTGCTCTATGCTTATAAATTAAAGACTTTCTTAACGTGATCTGTTTGCTAATAATGACTTTCCTCGTGGGTCTGCTGTCTCTGGGGATCATCCAGAAATATACCTAATGATCCAACAGCCCAGGTCCTCCAGGGCATTTTTTTTTTTGTCCATAAGGTTGCCATTAGAAAGTGATCTTTTTATACGGATGTGTGCTTAGTTATTCTGATAATATCTCTGCTTCAGAAGTGATAACCAATAGAGATTTGCAAAGCCATTTTATTGACACTGTATCTACAGAATTTTAGTATAGTCAAAGCTTAGACAAGGCTTTCACACATCAGGATTGAGGCTTTAGGAAGTGACGTTTACCTAATAATTGCTGTCAATACATGGGAGTGTCAGCGAAGTGTCTCCCAAGGACCCTTAAACCTGGGAAATAAGGCTGTCCTCTGATAGTCAAACTTTCAAAACCATATGCCAGTAGTTGTAATTAGCCAACTGTAGGTACAGACCAAAAAGTGGCCTATAAACATGTGATCCTACAACTCCAATCCACGGGACCTGGTATCATCTCGTGGAGGCAGGGGAGGAATGGGGTTGCCTTTTAGGAACAAAGAGCTTGAACAGTTGAGATATCCCCCATTTGGTGAAAGTCTGAATGAACTTGTGGACAATTAATACAGGAAAGTAAAGCCCCCAAAGCCATGTGTGGTGATACCCATTTGGAAGCTGACCAGGACCCTGACCCATAGGTTCCAGCTCTCTGGCTCCTTTGGCAGGTATGGCCTAATTCAGGGTATCCAAATCTCACCCCTTTTGCTCTTTCCATGCTCACCATGCAATCCTCCACATAGGACCTAGTTTCTGCTGTAGCTCATTTATAGGGAGACCTATGCTTTAGTATGCTTTGACCTACCAAAGGCAACAGCACAAGCTATTGAATTGGGAGGTAGTTCCTTTGACAGAAAGGAAGTGGTTAAGGGTACTGGCTCTTCTATTCAAATCCTGCCCTCTACCTCTAGTTGCATGATGCTGAGCAGGCCATTTAAACTTTTCGTGCCTCTCATCTATAAAATTGGGATGATGTAATAGTTTTTACGATATAGGATTGTGCAGATTACATGATTAAGGTATGAGAAGTGCTTGTAATAGTGCCTGGCCTATAGCAAACACTCAAAAAATATTAGCTATTATTATAATTTTCCCAGAAGAGCTTTATCAACCTTTTCTTAGTAGTTTGCTAGAATTGAAGAGGATTATTTCTTTTCAAAAAAATGCTAATTGCTCTAAATGCAAATAAAATTCTTAAAAAATGCATAGCGATGAGATAGTTAAGATGTATAATTATAGAACATTTTCTATTTTTACTTAGTTCTTTAATACTTCTAAACACATTCAGATGTTTAAGGTCTTAATTTTTTATGACAAATGATTAATAAACAAGCTTTCAGTTATAGATAACAATAGGTAGCACTTATATATAGCATTTATATATGTGCCAATGAGGTGTGGTACTATTTTACATATATTAATTCACATGGCTAGGAAGGACAGAGGCAAGACTTCAATTCAGGGCAAATCTGAATCCAGGTCTCTGTTCTGACCTTCCTAGTCTAATTAGTCTCCATGAACTTTGTTAGAATGCCTTCAACCCGCGGAGAAGGCGATGATGAGCTTACAAATCTAAGGACCAGATTGTTGAATGTGGTGAAATCATAAGGTCAATGCCCTCTTGGCAACCCCATCTCCTTCTGGTCTTCCCTGAAAAAAATCCTCTCACATTGCCTGGGTGCCACACAGGTTCCTGCTGGGGATTATTGTAGAAAACCATTACACACTTCTTAAAGGTACACAATTGTGCATTCCTTAATTAAGTCCTGTCGATTATTCCAAGGAACCTCTTCAGAATAATCACTGTTTCACAAAAATAAAAAGACGACACCAATATAAGGTACATTATCTCCTACCCAGGGAATCAAGCTGAGTAATTAGAGCTTAAGGCAGATCCAATTATCCACAGTACATAGCCAGATTAAAAATCAGAGCTACGTGAGAAGTAGAACCTGGAGGAATTTAGAAAGTCCAATCATGTTAATTCCTGAGGCCAGAAGCTTGGACTGAATGAGCCACCTTCCATTTATCGGGCCCTCCCCACGGCCCTCCCTCCCACATGCTCTTACCTTGTTCACAAAGTTTCTTGGTCAAGGAGCCCTCATCCTGAAAATAAATGATGCGTTTCTGTACGATGCTGGCCCTGTAGAAAAAGAAGACTGAGTATAGTGATGTAGAAGGCAGATTTGGGGAGTAACAGATCTTTGCTCGGCCACCCTTGGCTGTGTGGCTATGAGTCAGTCACCCCAACTCTCTCCACCTGTTTCTTCCTTGGAAAATTGGCATTAATAATACCTACCTCATGAGATTGCTATGAGAACTAAATAGAGAAATGTATGTCGAGATCTTAGCACATACTTAGAAACCACTCATGAAATATTAGTAATTGTGTTGTTGTTGGTGGTACTAATGTATTACGGTAAGAAAGTGAACTAATAGCATTTCCAATAACTTTTCTCAATGATTCATTTTACTCTAGTTTTGTATCAAACAATTAATGCCATTTATAGATCAACCAAGTTCAAGTCAGAGAAGCATGTCAAATCCTCTTCCTAAAGGGGAAAAAAAGGAATTTAAAAATGTATTTTGATTTGTCCTGAAAATGTCATTCTATATCTTTCCTGAAAGTCTAGACAAAACCGTCTCCTATGTTCTGAACAAAGACAGTTTCAGCTGTTATCTCTCTCTCTTAAACATGTCAAACACGAGATCTTAGAATTTGGAAAGAATATTTTGAGGTTAAGAAAAATGACTTACTTTTGGCCAGCACATATTTTCTCTTTAATTAGGATTGCACAGACAGGCTACTTCTCCATTAACCCACCCTGCTGTTTAGTTTTAGCTAGCCTTGCAAAGTTGAATCCTGAAACCCAGTGTTCCAGTAGTCTGAAAGTCTACGACACTTCATGTTGAGACAGTGCCAATGGATCTCCAGCCATTTTTATCGTTTTCTTCAGCAATGCTACTCAATCAAAAGGTAATTTTTACTTTGATTTACCCTATTTAACAGATAAAGGGAGCCCTTGACTCCATCACAGCTGACTATACTGAATGAGTGATAGAGTCACATAATTTGCTCTGTGTCACATGATCTCGCACCCAGGAATGGGGCCAAGTGTGTGTGGATCTGCAGAGTACAGAGGCCATTTTCTTGATGGTCTGGACCTAGGCCAAGATGACTTTCCAAAGAAACATCTATTCTACACCCTGTCTTGCACAAAAAAATAAAATTCAGATCAGTCTACATATGTCTTTTATAGTCTTTCCCCACCCAAGAGAGACAAGATGTTGAAATAAATGAATGAAATATGCTTCCTGTCTACACAAAGCTACTTTGATCATTTATCCATTCTGTTGACCATCAAGCAGAAAGTTTCCTCAGGCCAAGAGAACACACTTGAGAACACTTACCCTTACCCCAAAGCCAGATAACAAAGCCTTTTGTTAGTCAGAGTATCTCATCATTTACCACAGTGCTTCCCAGAGTGTTTCCCACCAAGAAGGGCCCCCAGGGAGCCCCATGGAGGGCTAGGAGAAGGCCTAGCAGGAACTATTCCAGGCCCCACATTTCTGCTCCAACCAAAGGCTCCATTCATTCTCATTTCAACCAAAGCAGCCTCCTCCCCCATCTGTCTTCCTATTGTATTTACTGGTATATTTTCAACAAATAGAAACTAGCCAGGGACACTGTCATGAATGAGACAGATGGGGCCACTTCCCATTCTCAAAGTTTATAGTATAGGGGAAGGGGAGCATCACACCACTAAATCCTCACCTAATCATTTAACACAACTATGATTAGGTGCTGAATGGAGAAGTCCACAGGGTGTGGGGGAGTATAACACAGGGGGTCCTGACCAAGGTGGGAAACACTCCTCCCAGAAAAGATGGCTAAGCATGAGTTTGAAAGAGAAGAAGTTAACTGGGCAAATGGGAGGGAGAGGGTACCCTTTGTAAAATCCTTGAAATGGGGAGGGTCAGGGCTCACTGAAGAACCTACAAATGGTAAGTCAGGGAGGTGGCATGATAGATAAGTGGGAGAGTGGGCAGAACCACTCACCCAGAGCCTGCAGAAACATGGCATTTTACTCCAAGCTTGATGAGAGATCTTTGAAGTGTGTGTCCCAAGGAGTAAGAAAATCAGATTCACTCTTCTAAAAAAGCACTTGGGCCATAGAGTAAAAACAGGTTGGTGTGTGGTTGCAGTGTACAGAGCTCCTATGCAAATTAAATTTTGTTTCAACAAAATTGTCTTGCCAAAATATTTTGCAAACCCCTGATGTTCAGGATAAAATACAAATTTACCATAGTATTATTTAAGGCTTTTCACAAAATTTCCCCCCAACATCTTTCTGGCTTCATTTGTTGCTATTTTGTGCCATGTTCCCTGGGTTCCAAACTTTGAGTTTATGCCCCTTGTCTGAACACCTCTTACTCTACCAGGCCCCTGCCTGTGTTGTCTTCCCTCTCAGAATCTCTTCAAACTTGCCTTTGTTAACATCTATAAATAAGTATTTTGAATTTTCTTCCTCCTGCTGTGAATATGAGAACAATGACTATAGGCCCCAGGCCCGGCTGGTCCAAGGCCCAGCTGGTCCAAGGTCTGGCTGTGATCCAGGCTCGCGGCTCGGGATAGGACCCGGACTTAGAATGTTACATTAGTGTAGTAGGGCTCTGGGCCTAAAATTTGTAAACATGCTTCCGCTTATTGTATCACGCATGTGTGGCTGAATGTCACTATTGTATCTGATCTGTGTGGAACCATGTGGTCCCCTGGAGAGCAGAAGGAGAGCACAAGAAGGGGAGCAGAAGTGTGTGCAACACTGCCCTTCGCCCAATAGAACTGCATTAGAAGAAACGGAAGCACGCTCCCCACAATAAAGTTGGTGCCTGCCGTTTCGTTCTCATGTCAGCCTCTTGTGCCTTCTTCCAACTGGGCGTCTCACCATCGAACCTTCCCTACCCGATCAGCTTGGCACTGACAATGGCAAAGCCTGTGATTTAAAAGCATGATCACGCTTAGAAAAATTAAATCATCTCAAATTTTCCAAAAATATGATTGTAAAAATTTAAGAGGTCAGAGACAGAAAACATGTATTTCCTATGTTTTGATTTCCTTCATTCCTTGTTTTATAACGTCTAAGGTTACTCACTCCCTCGTTTTAATAACAGTTATAACAGTTGTGCCTGCTAGTTCCTGTGCTATAAAGGCCCTTTACGTACATTATCTTATATATCTAATGCTTTACATATATTACAGATCCTCAAATTCCTCATCCAAATCCCTTGGGCTTATTTATTTTTAAAAATTTTTTAAAAATTTTAATTAGTTTCAAGTACACAGTACATTGGTTAGACATTTATATAGTTTATAAAATGATCCCCCTAATTGCTTCTTCTCTCCTCTGGTTTTCCCTATGCTGTGCTCCCCATCCCTGTGACTATCTATCAAGTACTAGTTTGTACTTCTTTAATCCTTCACCCCATTCTTCCAGCCCCCCAACTCCCTTCCCCTCCGTCCGTCAGAGATTTTTCAGTATTAGAAAGTCAAGATGGCAATATAGCATTAACATTCCCATAATTAAACACATCAATATTCTGCAGCCAAATGTAAGAATGTCTATACTAAAAAGGTAAATAAAAACTATAAATAGCTTCATGTCAGTTTAGGTCAAATTTGGCAAACTAATCAAAATGCACTTGTTTTCAGAGGGCTTAAGATGAGGGTTTGTGGTTCTTTTCACCCTTATTCTACAGGTGAGAATGACTGTGATGCAGGAAGGTTAAAGTAACATGCCTTTTCCTCCTGCCTATCTCCAAAGTCCATGTTCTGTCTTATGCTCAGAATTGTGGTAAGAATTAAAGAAAATTATGACTAAAAAATAAGATTACCCTGTGGGTTAAGTATTATTATGAACTATAAGCCCCAGTTGATTTTCCTTGATCTATATTAGCATCTCATGAGACACACTGTGGAGAGCTGAGATGTGGTGGGTCTCCCTGGAGCCTGGGTCATGATCACCTGCAGCTATCCATGAAAAGTCTGAGCATACATCTCCGTGCCTGTGCTTAGCAAACCCTCTGTACCATGCCCTTTGGATTTCAAACTCTGTGAAGGTTAAATGTGGAATACAAGGATTGTTCTGATCTGGCCCCGATGATCTGGCCTCATCTCTATCTAATCCTTCCTTAGCACACTATCCAAACCATATCCTATGTCTGTGTTCACTGTCTTATGCCCCAGGGCCTCTGTCCATGGGACTCCAGTCCTTCCTCATGACTCCTCAGCCCACCCCTCCCCCATGCACACACTTCAGTTACTTAACTCCTACAGAACTAGGATGTTACCACCTTCAGAACTCCTTGATTGGATGTTCTTCCTATGAGAGCCACAGCCATAGCCTCTGGGGTTTCTCTTACCACAGCCGTGATTAATCTGTATTGTAATTGCCTACTTACTTTTCTATCTCTTATGCTAGATTATAAGCTTCTTGAGAGCAGGAACTGTATCTTATTTCTACAGACAGTAGCATCACCGTAGTACTGAGATTTGAGGAGAAGAAACAAAGTTTGGGGAAAAGGAGAGAATTTGAGACTGAGCTGTCTATAGGACATGATGGTGGTCTGTCTAGTGGATAGTTAGATCTAGGGACTTGTAACTCAGAAAAGATGTGAGGAGTGAGGTGTGCGGATAAGGGGGTCACTGAGGCAGAAGTAAGAGTTGAAGCTTTTGGAGTGGCTGATGTCACCCAGTGAAAGTGTGCAGAGTGAGAAATCAAGCTGAGCCCAGAACTCTGAAGAAGACTGACGTTTACCTATAGATATGCCAGCGGAGACCAAGACTGATACTCTTAGTTGTGAAAGATGTTGCTTTTTATTTCTCATCTGGTCAACTCCGGAGAGAATTTTATATTCTGGGAAAATGCATTTTACTTTGAGTCTGTTCGCATCAAAAGTATAAAATCCAGCTGAGACTTATAAATTATATTATCATTCAGAAAAATAATAGCTTTACAAGATGAGAAAGCAGTAAGAATTTCCTTAGCATTTCAAAATGATAAATTTCTCCCATTCTGTGTTGCAATTTGGCCATCCTATTGCATAGCATTTATATACTGATATACTGAATGCTCTCTTATCATA